CCGGACTTGGGACCGACAAAGGCGGAGTTAAAAAAATTACACATGATATATGGGTACCAGAGAAAAATTTCAATTTTTAAAGAGTTGAAAATAACAGGAGTTTAAGAGGGAGGAAGGGGGGAAATCAAGTAAACAAGAGTTTTGGCAGTTTCGGGATATACATACTACACCTCGCTTTGCGTCGGGGTTACGTTCCAAAAAAAAAAAAAAAAAAACACGACGCAAATTGAAACGACGCAAAGTGAAAATGAAATTTTGATGGCATGGCGCAATCAAAAACAAAGGTGTTGCCATATTTTAGGAAAAAAATTTCAAAAAAAAAAAAATTAAAGACTCGAATCCAAAACAACGCAACTTCGAAAATATAACGCGCACAGTGAAAATCAGTAAAAATTAAGCAGCGACGCAACTTCGAAAAAAACACAAAACGAAACGACGCAAAGCGAGGTATTGGAGTATGTTGATACAAGATTAAATAAGTGACTTACCGCAAGTAATAAATTTATTGGGAGCTTTCAGGTCTTGCCCTTTCTCAAACAAGATTTGATCAAAATTCGTGGTTTATTATTTCAAACATTTGTACAGTTATTCACAAATTTTCATTTGTGGCAAGATACTATTCCTTCAAATTTCCGAGGGGACCAATTAATATTGATTTTATTTAACTTATCGAGTATTTTTCAAGGGACCGGGAAATATTTTCAAATTATTCAGAGATTCAAATTAACGAGTTTCAAATTATCGAGAGAGTCGACTTTATATATTTTTTTCACTTTCCTATTGATTCTTCCACTTTCTTGCAAGGTTTTAATGGAAAATTTGTAGAATTTCAAAATCTGATTGAATACTTTTACAATCTACTCGATTAATAGAATTTCACATATTTTATTTCTAGTAAATTTCTTAACTTTTCTCAGATCATTAAATTTTCTATAATAGACATCAAAGAAAACACCGCATATGAAAATCAATTAAATTTCCATTTTTCAAATATATAAAAATTCTTATTATAAAAACAATTTTTTAAAAAGGTAATAATTTACAATCATCAAAAAGTACTAATTAAAATTAATTTCTCTCACTTGAAAAGAAGACAAATTTTGCAAGAATTGCCATTTGTAATGGAGTCTGCCAACAACAGCGTCAACCAATTAACTCTGAACTAATCGTTCGTCTGAGAGCAATTTAGAAGACCAAATTAAAGAAAGGGGTGGACGCAGACGATGATAAAAAATGAGCATGAGAACGTTTCCTTCTTTCAAGGCAGTTGTTAATTTGTTGATTTTTCCACCGAAATCATTTGTTCATTGCGTCACTTTCCATTGTCTTTTGGTACCTTTTTTTTATATTTTGCCGCTAAAAGGCAAGCCACCTGCGTGTGTGTTCTGACCATTTTTACATTATTTAGAGCGTTTTTCTCATTTTTAAGGTCATAAAGGTATTCCCTAATAGCATAGATGAAAAAAAGGGGATCATTAAAGTCTTTTGTAGAAAAAAATGTAGACGTGTTATATAATTTGAAGATAAGAATTGAAGGTTACGTGTTATGTGGTCATGTAGTCAATGTTCTTCTTTTTTATATATTTTAAGTGTATAGATATTTGAACTGGGTTTTTTAGCATAGAGGCAGCTGTGTCTTTCAGAATAGCTTAATTATTATTTTGAGACATGTGCGCGAATATTCTAAAAAATGATCTCTTTTTATCTTTCTTTTGTCTTTTATTTAAACAATTAAAACAATGTGTGTAACCCTTAATTTTTTTTTTAAAGAAGGTTAAAATTTTCAATTGACCCTTTATCAATCTTTTGTATTCTGTAAATTGTTCTATCTGCGTTATATTTATGGATAATGCTAATTATTAAAGGTTTTTTATTTATTAAAAAGATCAATTAATGTCGATACCATTTGTTTTGGGAACAGAGAAAATCTGTTTTGTTTTCGTCATGTTTTAAACAGCGAAGGTCGAATTATAAAATACTTTTTAGCAGTTTATTATTAAATTTTTCGAATCAATTTACAGTGATGTAGATTTTAATAGGAATATTTGAAACGACAAGATTTGGGCATCAAAAATAGATCTCGAAGCAATATAATTATACTGTTCAAACATTTCATAGACAAGGCTAACGTCACATCAGGTTAGCAACCACTTTCCAAAAGTCTCAAGATTTCGTCTTTACAACAATGTTCTGAAGGTGGACCATATCTGACCCCAGCGAGCACTTGAATTGATCCCCAAAGATACGTTTTTTCATTGAGACAAGTAACTTTATTTTATTTTTAACATCTATGTTGATTGTTGTAAGTTTTGCTGAGATCCTTGCAATTTTAATCAAGACCTTATTAAACAATACGCCTCAATGAAACGAATCATTTTGGTCCCAATAGCGTGGTCGTTAATTTTAAGAACTTCAATTTATAATGCTGGGATATTGTGTGTGTGCAAATCAATAATTTCAGAACAATTGAACAATTGGGATTTATATGAATACAAATAAAAGCGGTGGGAGACGATCATCGTATATTGAGTGAAGAGGTAAAATATTTAGTCAAAAACAATAAAAACTTGCTCTGATTCCAGTTGCTTCATATTAAGCCATCCTCCCCACCGCTTTTGTTTATACTCCTATGAATCCTAATTGTTCATCAGCGGTAGCTGAAATGTTTATTTTCTCCTTTTTAGTGCATTTTAATTAAAAAAATTGAAATATTTTTTATTAATTTATTTTAATACAAATACAGTAGAACCTCCTTGTAAAGGACACCTAATTTCAGAGTCAAAGTGTCCTTTAGGAAGAGTGTCCTCTTACCGGAGAGTTGCTAAATTATAAAAATGGTAATTTTGGAAATGAAAACTGTCCTTTGTTGAGAGGTGTCCGTTAGCGGGGTGTCCGCTAAAGGGAGGTTCTACTGTATACTCTCTACCAAAAAATAATAAAACAAATTTCTCTAGGGCTCATTTAGCAGCGAATCGTCGAGTTTGAGTTTCGCTGAACCATTTTCTTTAGGTTTTCTGTACCTATTGGAGCCTGCAGCCAGGACAATGTGGGCAGTTCGTATTAGGATCAGTAGCCTGTACAACCCTTGTAGGTCCTTTAATAGAATGGTCTTTAACACAAAGCGCAATAACGCGCCATCTATATACATAAAATGAAGGGATTTAAGCACGGATGTTTCTTTTATACACAATACAAACTTCTACTGTCCTTACTGAGATGAAAAAATATATTGGGAGGGCTTGGCTGATCAATAGTGAACCCTCCAATCGGTTTCGCCACTTTAAATTTATAGAAGTCTTTGTTTCTTGCAGCTTCCATCACGACGGCATGGTGAACGCTACAGCTTGGCAGGACGCAGTTTATCTCTGGACGACCTTTGAAAAATAATTTCGCACAGTTGAACATCCTTGTCTGTGACATTCTGATTTCTGGCGAAGAAATACTTATGAAACTCTGAGGGTCTCTCAGCGAATTCTAGAATTCAACACAATAAATGCTACTCGCAAAGGCAACATGCTGCACTTGACTAATTTAACTCTAAGTCGCGTGAACAAACCACTTATCTTTATTTCTGTATAGTCGTTACTTTTCCAACTCCCTCTCTAATAGAAATAATTAGTGATACGAACAATAAATTGATCTACACCTCTTATTTCTGTGATATATCGATTTCAAAAATACAAAAATTTAAGTTAATAGTATAATCGCTTTAATGTACTATAAATTCTATTAATACACAGCAATAACACGATATCACACACACACAAAAGCCTTTATTAAGACACACAGGTCTTACAGAGGATTCTCCTTGGGATTACAAGACGGAGAAACCTATAAAGGGGGAAATAAAAAATGGAGAAAGATTATATACATATGGTAAATATATACAGATTATAAGAAAGAATAAAAAAATATAAGAAAAAAAAATTGGAAATATGGATGGGAGAAGTGGAGAGCGAAAAGAGGAAAGAAAACAGGTATTTACATATGTTCTCCCATCCATATTTCCAATTTTTTTTTTTTTCTCTTTTTTTGATTTTTTTTTATTCTTCTTATTTTTTTATTCTTTCTTATAATCTGCATATATTTACCAAATGTATATAATCTTTCTCCATTTTTTATTTCCCACTTTCATAGGTTTCTCCGTTTTGTAACCCCAAGGAGAATCCTCTGTAAGACCTGTGTGTCTTAATAAAGGATTTTGTGTGTGTGTGTGTGTGTGGTATTTACATATGGAACAAGTCAATTTAAGCTCTTCTGCTCACACAGCACAGGTGGGCCATGGCTTTTTCAAGAAATCTTTAAGAGATTTTCCAGGAAAATCCGAGTGTTCAGGGTTGTAAGGTAAACACCGTTTTAATAACACGATATCTATAACAAATGAAAACATTAAGACGCGAAGGGTTCTTTTCACAAAGAAATCAAACTTCTACTGTTCTTACTGCAATAAAAAAATATTGAGAGGGCTTGGCTCATCAGTGTTTAACCCTCCCAGTGGTTTCGCTAATTTTATCTACCAGACCGCTTCTTTAGAGCTCTATTACAGTATTTGATAATTCTTCAGTGTAGCATATAAAAGCAGAATGATCCAATACAGTATTAGAGCTCTAAAAAAGCCGGCTGGTAGATTAAATTGGCGAAACCGGTGGGAGGGTTCACCACTGATGAGCCAAGCCCTCCCAATATTTTTTCATTGCAGTAAGGACAGATGAAGTTTGATTTCTTTGTGAAAAGAACCCTTCGCGTCTTAATATTTTCATTTCTCTATATATATAAAAGTCAATTTCTGTCTGTCTGTCTGTTTCGCGATAAACTCAAAAACTACTGAACCAATTGGTACCAAATTTTGCATGTCGCTTTTTATAAACCTGAGGAAAATTTTCGGCTGCATTTTGATTAGTATTTTTGGCTATTTCTTTTTTTTTTTCATTTGAAGAACGTTTTTTTACGCGGACTAATCCGGAATGGAATGAATACCTAAATATGGCCATTTTTTAAAAGCATCGGTGGTTCAGTGGTAGAATGCTCGCCTGCCACGCGGGCGGCCAGGGTTCGATTCCCGGCCGATTAATTTTTTTTTAACAATTTTTAAAACTCATTTATATTATATCTTCTATATATATAAAAATGAATGTTTGTATGTTTGTTTGTTTGTTTGTTGGTTTGTATGTCCGGTATACAAATTCGCAGTAGTTCACTAATTCAAACCAAAATTTCCATACATAGGTAAAAAAATACGGGGAAGACGATAGGCTATTTTAAAAAATATATAAATCAATTATTAAAACTATATATTATTAGTCAGAAAATGATGATGACGATATTGCTGTATCATGTAAGATTATCAGATACAAAATTATATCGGGAAAAATTCCAAAAAGCAGAGACCACGGGTGAAACCAGCTCATTATTTTGTACGCAGGAACAAAATTCTAACAGAAAAACATTCATTCGAGCAGAAAACAAAAGCCAGATCATCTTTCTATAAAAATATCGCTTCTCAGACACAAAGTTTGTAGCGGGACGTTTCACAAGAGTGACATCCACGCCGCGAATTTATAATTGTAACGAATAGTATTTAAATAAAAACATTTAATCGGGTAAAACCCGGCGGTGCCCGGGTCATTCGGCTAGTGTTATATAAATGCTATATTGATAGAAAATTGCACAATTCGTTAAATAGAATTTATACAGAGTGATAAATGTGTGCCTATATGGTATGGAATATACGAGGTGTGTTCAAATTATTTATTTATTCATTAATACCTATTTTGTCCCCTTCAAAGTAATCCCCATGAGATATTATACACTTGTGCCAACGGTTTTTTCCAATTTTCGAAGCACTTCAAAAAATCATTTTTAAAAATCTTTTTCAGCTCCTCCTTCGATGCCGTCTTTATCTCGTCAAGCGTAGCGTAACGTCGTCCTTTCATGGGCCTCTTCAGTTTAGGGAACAAGAAAAAGTCACAGGGTCCAGATCTGGGGAATACGGTGGCTGCGGCATCATTAGTGTGTTGGTTTTGGCCAAAAGGTCGCGCACAAGCAACGATGTGTGAGCAGGGGCGTTATCGTGGTGCAAAAGCCAATTTTTGTTCTTCCACAAACCGGGCGTTTCTGGCGGATTGCTTCGCGCAAATTGCGCATAACTTGAAAGTAATATTCCTTATTGACCGTTCTACCCTGTGGCAAGAACTCATGATGCACCACGCCCCTGCAATCGAAGAAAACTGTCAGCAAAACTTTCACATTCGACCGAACTTGGCGCGCTTTTTTCGGTCTTGGTTCGTGCGGCAGCTTTCCATTGAGATGATTGAGCTTTGGTTTCCACGTCATAACCATAAACCCACGCTTCGTCACCAGTTATGACCCTCTGGAGCAAATTTGGGTCGTCGCGGACAGAGTCCAACATCTCATTAGCAATGTTCATGCGATGCTGTTTTTGGTCGGAATTAGCAATTTTGGTACGAATTTCGCGGCGACCCGTCTCATGCCCAAATCATTGATAAAAATAGAATGGCACGAGCCAATCGATATGTTTAGGTCCTCAGCAACTTCCTAACGGTGATTCGACGATTGGCCAATATCATTTTCTCCACTTCATTATTTTTTTCGTCTGTTGTTGAAGTGCTTGGGCGTCCGGCACGCTCTTCGTCGTTCACATCTTCTCGGCCTTCTGAGAACATTTTGTACCACCGATAAACGTTGCTTCGGTCCAAGGTAGCTTCTCCGTATGCCACAGTCAACATTCGGAATGCATCCGCGAACTCAATTTCGTTTTTCACACAAAATTTGATACAGGTTCTTTGATCCATTTTTTTTTTCAATAGGTAAAAATCGAAGACGATCCAAAACACCTGCAAGCAAAGCAGCTGTCAACAATTAAGTGAACATTCAAAATGGCCGAGCTTGTCGGCATAGGTGAGAGACATGAGTACCAACATAAAGCCACAAAAATATCGAAATTCGAATATACGTAACCCGCGAAAATTCAAAAGTCGCGATACTTTTTGAACACACCTCGTATTAGAAAGAAGGAATCATATATCGCCGCAACTCTTTTTATTATTATAGCGGTTAAGGAAGCTTTCGGGCAAGCCCTTCTTCAGCTAATTATATTGTACAAACAAAGAGAGATTATATAATAATAATAAAAAGAGTTGCGGCGATATATGATTCCTTCTTTCTAATTTGTCGAAATCCGCAAACCGTTTACCATGAACACCTCGTATTGCTGAGTATATAAGAAACCCGAGGATGACGAAAGCCAAAAATAAAATGGCCAGCTGCCACCATTTAACAACCATTACGTCCATCCTAATTAAAATCCATAAACGATTGATTAATGGCAATTGTCCATGATTGCTAATGGGAAGGTATATTTCTCTTGAATTTGTCATTTATGAGACATCTTTTTTCATTCTTGCTATGAAATTGTTTCCAAAAAATATCGTCATAAACACATGGGGTATTGAAGCTTGAGGGCAGGTCTTCGTCATCTGGATTTCATCTAAACTAGAGATGGGCTAATTGGGTAGGATCTATTATTTATTTATTATCTTTATATAATAATACTTTTTTTCTTGGTAAAGATATCTGGTGTGACTCCATAGAAAACTACTTTCCTTGTAGTGATTGTAGAAAGTTAATATACTTTATAATCTTTTACAAAATTTATTTTGTCCATAATATAAATATATATTTCATTTTTTTTCTCCCCATTGAATATATCAAAATATTTTCAAAACTTAATTCTGTTGACGCTGTGTGGGGCTGAGTTTGTTTTTGACACACATTAAATATGTTATAACACCTTGATAAATGATATTTTGATCCAATATATGTCTTTTTAATTAAAAACTTTATAATCTATAAAGTTCTCTAAGAGGCCAAGTGCGAATCAGATGAAAATCCCCTTTGAATTTTTAAAGATAGAAATTAGAGGCATCTCTCTCTAGAGATTATAATGATTCTAAATTTATAAATAATTAATAATACTTTCTTGACAGCTTAATTTTTAATATGTTTGTTGATTAAATAAACCATTTTAATTAAATTATTCCGACCAGTGCTTGATGTAATATTTTTTTTAAAATGTTTATATCTACTTATATATTTGCCTTATTCTGTCTGTTTGTTTGTCTGTTTGTCTGTTTGTCTGAAGCTCACGGATAGAATGCGCGCTCATTGGCTGCAAGGGAACACGTGTCCTCCCTGCCCCCCTCTAGACAACCCTGTTATTCAAAAACCATACATCCAATCGCCATGAAATTCTGGGATATTATTAGGTATATCCCCGGAAAGGTTTTCGAAAAATAATTTCTTGAATATCTTGAATATCCTTAGAGTTATTTGCAGAATTGTAGATATAACTCGCAAGCAGCGCCGCCAGACGGTGATAGGCTTAAGCTGGCTGCTCCACCCCTGTTGACCTTGGGTCGTCGTGTGAGTCACAGCATGATGCAACAAAAAACACTCTCTCTGAGGATTGCGGCGTCAACAACCTGTAAGTTTGTGCCTCTCTCATAAACCTGTCTATACAGACCACCCTGTCTATAGCGACCACTCTAGACAACCCTGTTATCAGCTGTGTGATACATCCACCTGTCTATACAGACCACCCTGTTAATAGCGACCACCCAAGTCAACGTTTTTAGAATATATTCGCACTCGGGTAAACCCCGGGCGTTGCCCGGGCCATTCGTCTAGTGTATTATAAAAGATTTGAGCGTGTAATATAAAATTAACACTATAAATTTGAAAATGTTCAAATATCAATGTTTTAAGAATAAATTTACCCTTTGAAAAACGCACTATTATAAATTAATTCATTGATTTCTCCACAGAGTTTTAAAAAGTCTATATATATTTTTTTTTATTTTCACACACACACAAAAAAATATTTTTAAAAAAATATATTTCTCTCTTTTGAGGTAACTCTGATTCTGAGGGTAAATTTTTACTTAACAATTTGCATTCTTAAAGAACCTGATTTAACCAAATAAATATAGAATATCAATTAATCAATTGAAAACTACCATACGTGAATCAAACTTGCACCTCACAAATATCCAATAGGTAAAAAAAAAAAAGAAGTTGAAGGTTTGAAAGATAAACTGATAGCTGGAGAGAACTGTACAATATTCATGCAAATTGGATTTACCACGTAAATAGAAAAAACAATAGACTGTGAAAAAATATCCTGAAGATTGTCAATAAAGCCTTTCAAATAACAATTTTCAAAATCATTTTCAAAGCTTATCTCTTTTATCAAAACTAAATAACAATGCAAAATTATAAGGAAAATAACCTAATATCTTTGGAAAAAATCAAAAGATTAATAGAAAGCGGCGCAGATATCAACACAAACAAAGAAAATGACCTATACCTATTACATCAGGCTGTGATGCTAAAAAACTTAGAGGTATGTAAAAAACTTATAGAAGCTGGGGCGAATGTCAATGTAACTGATAAAAAAGGTTACTCTTCATTACATCACGCCGTTTATAACAAATGTACAGATATATGTAAATATCTTCTAAGTGTTGGTGCAGATGTTGATCTTCAGTCAGAAGATGGCTCCACACCGCTTCATATTGCTGCGATGAAAGGTAACATTGATATTATTTCAGATTTACTAGACGCTGGAGCTGATATCGATGCTAAAAGGAAAAATGGAGAAACTACAATATATATTGCCATTAAAAAGGGTAATCTTGAATTATTTGAACTGTTGCTTGAGGCAGGTGCAAATATCAACCTGGAATATGAATTCTCGCGCACATGTTTACATATGGCTATTGATTTAGAATTCAAATATATTTGTGAAAAATTGATTGAAAAAGGGGCAGATATAGAAGCAAGGGATCAATTTGGATTAACTCCTTTGATATGGGCAGCAGCTAATGCTAATATTCAATGTTTTATTGAAATAATATTAGAAAAAGGCGCAGATGTAAATGCAAGGAATATGCATGGTTCATCAGCATTATATTTTGCCAGTGTAGGGAGTGTTGCAAATGTTAGGGTTTTGTTAAAAGCTGGGGCTGATATAAACGTAAGAAATGAAAATGG